GTATGTTTAGTCTCCAAATGAGGAGCTAAACTTCCATTTCTTGGCGTTGCTCTTGAAGCTTGTTGATTATTAAAGTTATGAGTTATTTTCTTAACTTCTTTCCTTGAATATTAATTCTTCCTTTAAATACTATTTCTATATCAATGTTGGAGAGTGTTACTAAGATGACAATTAGTTAACATCTTGACATTGGTCTTAGTAATAGCTATTCCTTCCTCTATGTTAATATTGGGGAGTGTTACTAAGATGACAATTAGTTAGCATCTTGATATTAACTATAGTAGGATTCATTTTCTTTAATATTCTTCCTTGAGTATTAATTAATTCCTATTCATATTTCATATTAATTTTTGAACATTACTTAAAGGATCAACTAGTTTTGTTCCATATATTAATTATTACTAGAAACGATCAACGAACCGATGGTTAATCGTTGATAGTTTCACAAGTAAGTAACTTCGGTTTATTAATGCACGGTCGTGGTTAATAAATTTAAGAGGGATTAATTTTGTTGGTTAAACCGAAACCGTTGTGTTGAGGTTATCAATCTCAATTGATTTCATCAAGGAGTTAAGAGATTAAATGCTACTATCAAGTCGGTATATGGCGTTGTTCTATACTTGACTAATAGTAAGGGTTATTAATGAACGGTCGTTGTTAATAACTAACCTCGATGAATTGGATATACTCCTCGATTGAGTATTCGAGAGGAGATAAGTTATAGATATAACAATGATCGACTAAAATATATCAACAAGTGGAAAGTAGCAATGCCAAGTCCCTTTTTATCTTTGAATTAATCACATATAACTCGTTCATCTTCGTGTTTAAATTTAATTAAATCACTCAATCCCAAAACCCCCCTTATTTACTAGTTTCATAAAAAGATAATTATTCATTTCCCTGTGGATACGAACTCTACTACGCTATACTACGTATATGTGCTAGTGTTGAATTTATTTTGAGTGCACACACGACAAAGTGCACGTCATTTACCATTTTATTTAGTTTGTAAACATTTGTGTGATTTTAGTTGTAATTGTATTATTTTAGTTCTCATTTTTAAGTTGTAAAGTAGAGTTAGGATTTATGGTGTTGGAAAGGAAGACTTTGAAGTGAAGAAAAATGATTATTGGCTGCCCAGGACAATCACCCGGTCGGGTGAGGTATTGCACCCGGTCAGGTGAGACATTGAAAAGCGAAGGTGGCTGGAAACTACAATCACCCGATCGGGTGAGGTATTTCACCCGGTCGGGTCAGATGTGACCCGGGACAAAACGACGTGCTGAAACACAAGAACGTGGAAGATTATTTGATTTTCACATGCACCCGGTCGGGTGGGCACTTTACCCGGTCAGGTACCCGGCCCAAGGTGTTCAAAAACACCTATAAATAACTGAGGTTTCTTGTGTTTTTGAGCATAATGATCAGGTGTATAAACATCCCCACAGTACATACACAACCTAAATCTTCTTTATGTCATTTCTGCTTGAGTAGGAAAGTTCTGAGGTTTTTCAGACTGATTATAGGAGATTGTTTTATTCTGACTTGCAGGCATTCTTGAATTAGGAAACCTGTTGCTTGGAGTGGGTAAAAGTGGTGCTGATTTCTGATTCACAAAAGATGTAACAAGCTGCTTTGGTTTATACTCTTTTGCACTTTCATAGAGTGTAGCTAATCTGGCAGCATACTGAATAGATGTTGGGTTGAACATCCTCACATGCATTTTAATATCATGTTTCAGCCCATTAACAAAAAAACTCAGTTTATGCTATCAGACAACTGTAATCTAGTTAGAATATTCTCAAATTGCTCCAGATATTCTATTACAGTTCCTTCTTGTCTAAGTTACATTAGTTCTCCCATTGGATCATTAAAAGATTTCCCAAATCTTTCCATAACCTACTTCACATAATCTTCCCACAACATTATATCATTATTACCTTTATCTTTTACCAAGGCATAATGCCATTGCAATGCTTTGCCTTCTAGGTGCAATGAGGCCATTGGAATGAGGCATAATGCCATTGCAATGCTTTGCCTTCTAGGTGCAATGAGGCCATTAAGACTTTTGTATAAGCTGGAGTTTTATCAATTACAAAGAACTGATCGCACTTATATAGCCATTGTTTCATATTCTCACCAGTGAATCTAGGAAATTCAAGTATAGTACTTCTGGTAGAAAAAATTTCAGATCGATTAGGGTTACCAGTTACCAGAAGATGATCTTGACTTCTAGAACTTGAAGTTTGGTTGTTTTGTATTACTGCCACCAGATTCTCTATGATCATTTTCTCCAAGTTTCCGATCTTTCCATTCAAATTCCTGAATTGATCATCAGCTTCAGTGAACCTCTTATTCATCACTTCATCTAAATCTTTGACAGTAGGTGCCATGTCGGTGAAATGATAGAAATGATATTTGGTGATATTGACAGAACTGTATACGAGCTGCGAATTTAGGAAGTCTCTGATACCAATGATGTAGAATGGATCATAGATGTGATCGATCCTACAACTAAATCAATTTGGTTTAGATGAAAGGGAAGAACAACCAATCGAAATTGATTCAGGGAAGAAATAGGGAATGTTTACAGATAGAAAGAAGAAGAGATGATGTATTATTGATCGAATATCCCCTTTACACATCGGCTTATTAGTATATATACAGCCAGGACTGAACAACTAACTTTTAACAACTTTTAAACTGACTAGTTAACTTCTAACCGACTTAGCTAACATCAGTTTACTATATCATATTATGACTTAGAACAAGGTTTAAAATTTTAAATTGATATTAGGTTTACTTTATTTTCCCTTTCCAGATCCGAATTGAGTTTATCAATATTTTTTCTTAATTTCTTCTCACTTTTTTTCTTTCAATTTTTCTTTCAGCTTTTGTGCTCTTAACTTTTTATCTTTCAATCTATCAATATTATATTATTTTATCTTTTATAACAAGGTAATATTGTTATTCATTCCACCAGGTCAATTATATTTTGTAACTCTTCAAATTAATTTTCTGATTTAAATTTAAATTTCCATAACTGAAAGTTTTTAGGGATAAGGGTTAGATAGGGCCCCGAACTTGAAAAAAAATGTCAAATAAGGCCATATTTAGGATGTTCTGTCCGGCCGATGCCGATTGGGGCGGTTCCCGGTGGAATTTTTTGATGAATTTTTTTGAGAATCTTATTCATTAAGTCTAGTTTACTCATATCAAATTTGAACTAAAACTTCAATCGGGAAGGCATTCAAATGAATTCTTGAAAATAACTGTGCAGTTAAAAGCGCAGTTATCTTCAAGAATTCATTTGAATGCTTTCCCGATTGAATTTTTAGTTCAAATTTGATATGAGTAAACTAGACTTAATGAATAAGAATCTCAAAAACTTTCAGGAAAAAATTCCACCGAGAACCGCCCCAAATGGCGTCATCCGGACATAGCATCCTAAATATGACCTTATTTGACAACTTTTTCCAAGTTCGAGGCCCTATCTGACCTTTATCCCAAGTTTTTATGACATTAAAATGAAAATATTTCTGTTTTTCTATGTGAAAATATTATTTTTGACACTTAATTCCATATTTTTCTGTGTAACAATATTATTAATGCCACATTTGTCTCTATTAATGCCATATTTTAATTTTATGTTTTTCTATCTTACAATATTTTTCTTTTAATGCCACATTTTTCTGTTTTACTATGTGACTATTATTTTTGACATTAATGCCATTTTTATGACACTAAGGCCATATAGATGGCAATATATTATTACTTTGCAAATCCAACATTCAAAAGTCATAAAAGTGTCAAAATGACACTAAGATTTATATCCATGTTTATGATATAAAACTCATTAAAAATGATATTCAAATGGTTAGATAATATGTTAAATCTTGTTTTCCAGATTTAAGATCGGTAGTGGTGGAGCCAAACCGGTGGTGGCTAGAAGAGATGTAGTGTTGAATGAGGAGACAGTAGCACCCCTACGAGATCTGATGGCGGTGATGGAGACGGCGGATGATGCCAGCGGAGGCCGGCGGCTGACGGCGGCGGCCGGCGACTGGTGGAGACGACCAGTGTAGGTGCTGAGTGGTGGCGACTGACTTGTGGCTAGGGTGAGGAACTTATCCACGGTTGTGCAGAGCTTTCAGTTTATTGTCTATTTTATATTTGTATTAAATGAATCAGATTAATCATTAAGAGTACTTTTGTCAGCACATACATTTTTAGTCCTACACTATTGCACGGATTGTTGAAGTCCTAGATTTGCACTTTTATTATGATTTAGTCCTCTTTGAGGAATTATCTCTTAATTGATGCATTTTATCGTCATACTTTTATCTAGTTAATTTTAAAATAATTTACACACATATATTATGTACGTACATATAAATTAGTTTAGTCATAACTTCATGAAGTATTAAACAAAACAAAGAAAACATGCAAAAATTTTAAAATGTCCTTTTTGTCTTTTTACGTATTATCCGCCACAAGCAAATTAAACAGTTAAGTTACCAAACATCTTTCTACAACCGGCCAAGCTAATCCGCTGGTCAAATCCGCTGATCCAATCCGTCATTTACTACCCGCTAATCAAATCCGCTAACCGCTGACCGCTGAGTGCCAAACAGGGCCTAAGTAAAAATTGTGGTGTGCCAAGCAATACCCTTAACAGCCTCCTCGTCTCTAGGGTTTACTCCATCCTTCTAGTGTGCTGCTCCTTTATACGTAGTACTTGAATTTCGGCCATTAGGCTTTGAACTCAGCCTACTAATTTTATTACTACGTATTAATTATCTCTTTTTCCAAATTCAAAAAACACTTTTTTAAATTAAAAATTACACCAAACAAATTGTTTTAAAAAAGAAGGAATTGTAAACAAAACAAAACACTTCTTTATCTTTACCTAATACGGATCGTACTGCGTACGTACGTAAATTCGGTACCATATTACCTAATTTTATGTTCTCAAAAGCCACAACATACATACGTAAGTGTAAGACGAGGAAAGGAGTTTGAGAGAAAGAAAAAGAGGATAGGATCGATGACGGCTGGGTTAGGAAAGAAGATGAGTAGGAGGAGGAGAAGAAGCAAAATAAACGGAGTTTTCCACAACGATTTGTTGGTGGAGGTCCTGCAGCGTGCCCCGCCTGAATCGGTGGCGCGTTGTAAAGCCGTGTGCAAGCGGTGGCGGGACCTAATTTCGACTCCTTTTTTCTTCGACCGTTTTTGCGATCACCACCGGCTCATGAGCCGCGAAGAGGAGTGCGCCGCCACCCGCTGCTCCACCAAGTTGCATCTGTTCCTGTTTCATCCTCACTTTGAGCGCCAGTTTTCCCTGGACTTCCTCCCCTTTTACGAAGCTGCAAAAAAATCGAAATTCGTGTTGGGATTCTGCGAAGGTCTGTTATTGTGCAGTCCAGGCGACAATTCTCGTCTGTTTTACTACATAGTTAACCCGATCACCAAGACCTGGGTCGGTCTCCCCACAGCGCGGTCGGTACATACATATTATGATATTGCTGTGGGCTTCGCCTATTACCCGGACCTTCCCCGCCCTCGCTTCAAGATTGTCCGAATTCTTCCGCCCCGGAATCAGATACCAAAGTCGTATTTTAGAGTCAGGAACTTTTGCTCCGAGACAGGAAAGTGGGCTCGGGAAAGGGCAACATCTCCCGAGCCCATCGCCTGGACGCCCTTCATGATTAAGCAGGCTGCCGTTTTCCACGAAGGGTACCTGCATTGGATGGATGGGGGGATGCGGGCAATTCTTTACGATGTTGAAAACGACAAGATCGCTTTTATCCTGAATCGGCCCAAGGAGGCCGTCGTGCACAGAGAGGGGTTCTTTTGTTTTGGTCTATGCGGCGGCCAGTTTTATGTGGCGGAGCTGAACTGTGCCACATTGAGGATATGGGAGCTGAAGCACCAGGGGCAGGGGCGGCCGGAGTGGACTATGCAGCGGCAGGTACATCTGGATGATGGCAGCAGCATCAGGCACGGCCGGGAGTGGCTACCTGTAATATCAACTTTACCCCTGCCATTGCTGGCTATCCATCCCGTGGATATCAATGTTGTTTACATTCGTAATAGATATGAGGCTATTTCTTGCAATTTGAGAACCAAAACTCTGAAATTCTTTTGCAAGCTACCTCCGCCAACTAAATACAATTTGACATACAGCATCATGCTTCCGCCCTGGCCAACTTCCATACCCCAGATTTTCAACTCAACTGATCCAGGAAAAGTGATTGATGGAGCATAATCTTATTACTAGCCACAAGGTCCATAACCTTTGTTTGATGAAGGAGATATGAGATCATTTAGTTTAATTAGCTAGAGCACTAAATTAGACTTCTAGTACATATATATGTAGTTGAGTTTATCAGTGTTAGTGTTCAATTATATTCACCATTTAGAAGTCACTATATAATTATAGCTGCACGCTTTAATGGCGCCCGCTGTTACTCCTTTTCTCTACTGAGAACTCTTATGGAGTGTTTGCAACCGCTTAAAAAAAAGCATTTCTCAGCTTTTGGCTTAAAAAAGCACTTATTTTACAAATACTACCAATTTTTACTTTTTCTCGGCTTGCGTGTGAAAAGTGTTTTTCCCTTTTCTATTACACAAAAAGCACTTATTTTACCAAACACTACCAACTTTTACTTTTCAAAATCACTTTTTTCTCAAACACTATCAACTTTTACTACTAATCACTTTTTCCTTACATCTCCAAAAGTGTTTTTTTTTAAGCAGAAGCAGTTGCAAACACTCCCTTAAACGGTTTAGAATATACGGAGTATAAATTAACGGTGATTATTGCCATTACACGAGTCTCTTTTTCTTTTGCAATGGAATTATATTATACTCTTTCCCGTCCTTTTTATTTAGCCAAACTTGACTTTTCAAGTTAAAGAAGTTAGCCTTTGATCGATTATACTTCGTACGAAATATATTTATACATAGCAATCTATTTACTATGGGGTGTTTTGTCAGGGGTGTTTGGATAATCACTTTATAGTTTGGCTTTTCACCTCAAACAGCTAAAAATAAGAATGCCAATGTATCTAGCGTTTTGGTGTTTGGCCTTTCACTTATCTATAGGATTTTCCCATTCTACCTGTTGTCCCTTCTCTTTCACTCGTCACTTATCTTTTTCCTTGATATCTTCTGGACAAAAGAAACAAACCAGCAACATCAACGTATCCGATTTTGCTAGCCCAAGGTGTTCTTCTTCCTCTAATAATGAATTTTTTGCAGTGCACCCATTCAGACAATTTCCTAACTAGATTAACCCAATTCATATTGGACCATATCAAACCAAATCACATCAGTATTGTACAATGAGCATCATGCTTCCTCCCTGGTCAACTTCCATACCCCAAATTCAATACTTTTGATTTACTTTAATTACATATATCATAAACTCAGCTTGTTCTATTAGTTATTTATTACTTGGACTGGACTATGCAATAACTTGTGTGTTGTGTCCTTTATTTACTGGAGAATGATTGAGTAAGGTAGGCTTAAAATGCACAATCTTAAGTCTCTTTCATTTGTATCAATCTTATGAGTTCAATTGTCCAATTGTTTAGTGGTTAAAATCAATATTTGATATCAATACCTAAAAAAATTGGGATAATTATGTTCTTATTTGACCTAAAATGAAAGAGACCTCATTGTTAATCTTAAATATTGCCTACTGCCTTACTCAATCATTCTCATGTATACATACATGTAAAGAAGTATGGTTTTTCTTTAACAAAAAGAAGAAATATGGTTTTGTTTCCTCTAGCTAGTACACCACTAATCAGATATAAGGACCATCGAATTAAGATGTCTCCTAATCCATATGAGATATAAATATAATGACCATCTAGTCAAAGAAGATGTCTTTGGGTAATTAAAATAAGACATACTTTAATCATCAGTATTGCAATTTTTTGACTTGTTAAGGTGTTTGGCAAGTATTATTTCACTTTGATGCTACAATTAATTAAGAAACACGTTTTTACATTATGTACAAACTGGTGTAACCATTTCGTAGTTTAGTCTTTTACATAACCCTACATCAAGAGCAAAAGTGAAGAACATCAGATCAGAATAATGGGAACCTCTTCATGTGCCTTAGCAGCAAGCACAAACAACTGCTATACCACTTCTCTTGCACATGCTACCTCCACCCCACTAGCATATAACATAAGACATGAGGAAATATACGATTATTAAGAAAAATGAGTTTATGTGATTGTTATTAAATTGATAAAGTAATGGGTCGTGCTTTTTTATGATACCAAGGTGCATCATGATTGTCCCATTATACAATGCTTAAAAGCGTTAATGTATCATACGAGTATTATTTTGTGATACCCTGAGTGTCGTGATTTTCTGACATTTTCTCGATGACACTAAAATTAGGAAAAAACCATCTATACTACACATAAATTGTACACATTTGACACATTTGTTGTACACACCTCCTAGTTGCATGTGTACACAGACAACTCGATCAAAAGCTCCAGTGTACACAGGCTACTAGGGGTGTATATACAACAAATGTGTACAAATTATGTGTACAAGTAGCATCCCCCTAAAATTATTGTCACCATTCCCGGCTTTCTGTCACATTTCACATGTGTCACGAAAACATTTTGTAACACAAAAATAGTACGTAGTATCACTATATGCCATTTTCTACTAGTGTTATAATCACACAAATTTTATCAAATTTGATATAAGACAAACTTAATGGGATGGACCGAAAATGAAAGATGAGACCATCTTAACGGGATAGAGAGAGGGATTACTATTTTTTGCAACAAAATACACCTAAAATACCAAAAACTACACTTTTATGTAAAAAAAACTATTACTCCCTCCGTCTCAGTATTAACTTCTGGTCAAACTTGACACACAGATTAAGAGAGTAGAAAATGTATGGTCTAAAAAAGGAAAGCATAAAAATGATGGACGAAAGAAGTAGTACAAAGGGTTTGTCCATCAATATTACTAAAATGAAGCTCTACAAAAAAGAGACATTTTTCTAAAATTTCCAAAAATGTGACTAATAATGTTTTAGTTATCAAAATAAATTATTTCTAGTTTAAAATTATTGTGTGTGGTTTCATATTGTCATTGAGTTTACGTTTTAGGTTTGGTATTCCTAATTGGGTTTTGGTCTATTTCTCTACTATATTAGCATTATAGTTAAATTTAGGGAAAATTAAAGGGGCAAATTAGCCACTATGGTAAGGGTACAAGTGCAAATAAGACACTAACATTTTTAGATGCAAATAGCATTAAATCTCTACAATACAATCTTATAAGAGTGAATATTGTTAAGGGTATATACAATCTTATAAGAGTGAATATTGTTAAGGGTATAATGGTCATAAAAAATGTGTTGGTGTCTCTTGCTGCATAAAGTTGTTGTACATCATGTATGGATTTTTGTACTTTTAAACTTATTATAGCCTGTGTTTAACGGCAAAGTAGCTTTCCATGTTCCCGTTCCGTGAACTATAGCCTTCCGCTTATTTCCGTTCCGTATCCTTTATCTCCTCTTTTTCATTCAGGCGCCTCAACATTTTTGGCACTCCCCTGGTAATGGCGAGTAGCTTTACTGACCTCGAATTCGACATTTACATCCATTTTCCATTGGTTGTCTAACTTATTGTTAAATGTTAATCCATTCCGCCCCTTAGCATACCCCAGACGGCTCCAATCTGATATGACACACCATATTCCTTCCTGTTTGGGCCGGTTTAGCAATCGATAGTTTCTCTTTTCTTCTCGATCGCCCCACTTGGGCTCGGCTAAAGGTGTACTCCCTTAAGCTGATGGAAGTACGCTCAGGGTTCAGAGGAAAGGAATTGGAGATAAAGAGCTCCCGTTAGTAAAGCCTCACTGAAGGAAAAATCAGTTTACTTCTTTCGTCTTCAATTCCCATGTAAGTTGGTATTTTCCTTTGGTTTCGTAATAGTGATGATTGCATTTAAGGTCATTTCATTTCATATACACCTGGTATGAAATCATCACCCTAAGTTTCCATCTCAGAGGCTACCCGAGTTATGGAATTCCACGAGACCCTCTCACCTTCAATCGTCCGGTATTCCCCTTATTAATATATATTCATCTTTTTGCAAACTAGCAAAGGATTTTAGGCCATATTCATCTTTTTGCATCTTCTTGCTCAGCAATTCTTCTGGTAAGCTTTTTAGGCCTCTATGTCTGTCTTGTGCTTGTGCTTATTCACATTTGTTTATTTACTGACCGAGTATTTGGCCGCAAACTATCTGTTAACCAATAGTCCATGCTTATATAAAGTGTTATATGATTAAAGTTATGGAAATTTAGAAACTGAAATTTACAGCCATGCATGATACGGAGTAATAATTTGTTAACACTACAAATTATTGTTACTACTTTGGAAACTGAAATTCAATATCAAATAGACTACTTTCAAATTCCAGGTTGCATTTTGCTATCTTTTAAATGAAATATTACTTTCAAATTTAGGAAAATAAACCTTTAATAGAAACTTACTAACAGTTAGAAGTTATAAAACGCAGAATTCTGGGAAGGAAAATTCCATATCAGATAGACTTTTATGGAAGGATCAACTACTCAGAGTTTTTTTTTTCAATTTGTTATCGGGTACACTAATCCCAGGGTTGATTGTAGTCTCATTGTGTATCAGGGAACTTACATTTGAACCCAATAGGGATAATTTTATTGTCTTAGTATATTGGGTTAATCTATCATAAGAAATGAAACCTTCATCTACACCTATGGATCCTAACACTCATCTTCACCAGGACAACAACAATCCATATTCAGATCCTGCAGCCTATAGAAGACTTGTTGGAAGATTGATATATCTGACTAACACCAGGCCTGATATTACATATGCTGTCCAACAACTGGCACAATTTATGGACAAACCGACATCTAAACACCATGAAGCTTCCTTGAAAGTTCTTAGATATCTAAAAGGATCACCTGCTATGGGATTGTTTCTTTCATCAGATTCTTCCATCCAATCGAAGGGATATAGTGACAGTGATTGGGCATCCTGCCCAGATACTAGAAGATCCATCACTGGCTTCTGCATTTATCTGGGAAACTCACTCATATCATGGAAGACTAAGAAACAAATGACTGTCTCAGGTAGCTCTTGTGAAGCAGAATATAGAGCCATGGCCAAAACCACATGTGAAATTCAATGGCTTACTTATATTCTGCAAGATCTCAGTGCATCTCCCAAGACTCCTGCCCTCCTATACTGTGACAATCAATCAGCCTTACACATAGCATCCAATCCTGTCTTTCATGAAAGGACAAAACACATTGAGATAGATTGTCACATTGTTCGTGAACAAGTTTGCAGAGGACTGATAAAATTGCTTCCTATTTCCTCCAACTTACAACTTGCAGATGCACTTACTAAGCCGTTATCTCCTACATACTACAAAGAAATTGATCTCAAGCTGGGTCTCATCAACCTATGCGCTCCAGCTTGCGGGGGGCTATTAACACTAAAGAAAGAAAAGGACAACGGCCTGGAAGAAGAGAAGAAGTCAAC